TTTTTTGGTCTGGTCTCTGTTCTTTCTTTCTTTCTTTCTTTCTTTTCTTACTTTTCAGGCAGGCCTCATTTCTGTTTTTAAAGAATAATGTAGAGCAAACCCCAAAATTTTCTTGCAATTCTGATCATACAATAAATGAAAATGTGACTACTTCAAGCTTCCAAATGTCTTTTTATTTTTTTTCTCCTCAGTATTTTGTGGATTAAAAGAAGTTGCTTGGGGCTATTGTCATGTATTGCATTTAATATTCATATATCAAGAAAAATTTTTATGTACTACAGCTTCTTGTTAAAAAATATTTTAACAATGGTTCCTATACCATTCACAGAAGTCCTCCCAAAAAGTGTTGGTTGTTTGCACCTCTTCTGACTTGTTGGTTTTATTTCAGTATATGGTTTTTTCAACATTTTCACAGATGAGAATAAATTTAATGCTCTTCCCCTTTATTGTCAGAACCTTGCACTGAACTCGATGAAATAGGACCACTGAGTACAGAAGATAGCTGCAGTCAATCTAAGAATTGCAAGAAATGTTGAAACAAAAATACTTGAGTGCATTGTTTTGTGGATATGTGATTGTACAGACTTCCTTGATGCAATGCTCAGACTGTCTCACAAGCTGAATATTTTTGGCTTCATATGCAGGAGTTTAGGTCAAAATAATCCAAAAGTCACAAAATAATGAAATGTATACCCATACTGTCAGGTATACATTATAAAAGGCTGATTTAGTAAACACAGCTTCTTGCTAAAGTTTCTGCAGTGCTGGTGTGACCTGTGTGCCCTGGTGGTGCATCAACCCCTGAGCTGGAGAGCTGGCCCAGGGACAGAGAGCAGGTGGGGTAACACTCGGGTCAGGTAAACACACAGAACATTCCCACTGGCAATCATGTGGCAGATATGCTGCATTACCTGTTTCTGCCTTCACAATCCTTTCTGTAAGACCCTTTTGTTAATTATTTTTTCAAGAATGCAAATGCTGTTTGAGCAAATGGGATCAGAGAAAAAGGGAGTGTGACCAATGTAATAGCTTTGTACTTTTAGTCTAATATGTCATTGAGGTATATTCTATCAATTGTGGGTCTGACATTACAGTGCACTGCTTCACTGAATGCTGTGGCCTTTCATATCTAAAGAAGCTGTTGCAAGGAGTGTAAGCAGCATCATCTTTTCATTTGTCCCAATCATCTTTAATTCAAACTCTTCAATTGACTTGACTTAATGATGACTTGTGAAGATGTCACTAAAGTGGCAAATACATGTGTAAGAAATTTAAGGTGCATTGTGGTATTTTTGACCATATCTGATTAAGCAAGTCCTGTTGCTATCATCATTCATCTACAACTGACTCTACCCATAAATCTTATTTTTAGAATGGACTCTGTCCAAGCACCATAAACAATTAAGTTCCAAGTTTGCAAATGACAGTCTGTCCCCTTCTTTTCTGTTGTTCATTTATCATAGTCTTGCTTACGGCCACGGTGATAATTTCAGACATAAACTGATGGGGGTTTAGACTGCTTGGTATTTATCATTCAGTGTACTGGTAGAGCCACAAAGTTAGATATGATCATATTGTCATTATATCTCCACTTAAATAATTTTAAAAAGAAAAGGAAATATTAAGGTCATTTTACTGATGTGAATATGTGTTGCATGTTGAACAATATGAAAATCAGTGATAGAAGACAAAATTAAATTTAAGATCCCTAAACGTCTTGTGTAAGATTTTGCCATTTTAAAGCATGCAACATAATCCTGGACACAAAGTAAAGATTAGATTAAATGTGTATGTTAATGACATTCCAGGTGCTTGTCTAGAAGCGAAGTTTTATCAAAGAGTGTTTTGTAAATTACTAACAAGGTACTGTTGGCAATAATCTCTGTGCCCTTCCTCCCCACCCCAGTTTATTTCATGAAATAGTACATGAAATAACAGTCAGACAGACCTTAGTGTTCATGGTCCTTCAGGGTCTTTTGCAAAAGGATGTGCCTTGTACACAATTTTATTTATAATTTTCAAAAGGATAATAAAGTCTGCTAGAGTATGACTGCATTCTTTCTGAATTACAGCTGTGAAGCATATAAAAGTCAGGGCTCTGAAAAGAGTAGGAAAAATGGGATATGGAAGGAAATTACTTGATCTTTAAGGGCACAATTAGGCTGTGAACGAATTTTCCAATAGTTTATAAAGCAGAGTTGTGCCAGTAATCAATTAGGAAACTTCATACTTAATTCTTGTTCTTCAGCTAATACCAAGGATTATAAGGATTTAAAGAAAGAAATTAATCAAATTTCCACCACATGTCTCATCTTCAGAACAGTGGATTTCACATGTACGTACAAACGTGGAGCACTTCACTCTGCAGCAGATTCTGCTGGTTCAGAACCATCAAATCCCATTTCATTAATATGTGGTACTAACTTCTGGTTTTGGGTACTTCAAACTAATTTTCTAAGTTCATCTTCAAATGGGTTAAATAGTAATGAAATGCTACAGTGACAGGCTTAGACTTATTAATAGTATTACTTCAGTGTAATAGAGTATTTATTTTGATATTGGGCAACACACTGTTGTTGCCAAGCAATTTGGTAATAAACAGTTGGGTATCAGTCTGCTTAGAATACAATTAAATATGTGCCTTTCAAGAAGGCTGTGCTGTTGACTCTTGCTGATTTAGATAACTAAAACTAGAATTCTGCTTTATTAAGTAACGGTTTTCTTTTTGCTGGATTCGTCGTATAAAAATGTGATAGGAAACCAAGTGACAGTAGAAGTATAATGTACATGAACTTTGGCAATGATAGTTAGGATATCATAAAGCTGTGCTAGCTCTGTGCCTTCACTCTCTGCTTCTCTTTCATCAAAAGTATTATTGATTATTAATACCAAAATGAAAAATAAGAGGTAGCAACTCAAAGAAGAAAACATTTGAATGGCAATTGCTCTACATTAGGTGTAGTTAAGAGCCATGTTTACAACCACAAATGCAATGTATACATCCATTGAAATGACAGAATTGATTAAATGGGATAAGAGAAGAGTGTACCAGAAGCTCCAGAGCATTGTTTTTTTTGTAAATTTGATTGATGTTGGTGGGGCATGTTTTGGATCTCCAGAATATTAGTAAGAAGATGAAATAAAATCACAACTAGGCAAGCAGTTCATTACTTCTCTTGAGGAAAAAAGAAAAAAGCAAGAAAGAATGGTAGTGAATGCAATAATCGAATTTGCAGAACTGTATAAGCATAGATTGACATAGAAGGAAAATCATAGGTTATGATTAACATTAATAACACTTACATTGCTAAAGCAGTTGGCAGATATCAGCCAGAGATTCATTTAGAAACATTGCTCGTAGCTACTGAGAATGGTATTCAGCATCAAATACTTTGTATTAGAAATTTTCCCTGTCAAGCAAATGAAATGAGTTTAGCTTGCAGGAAAACATAAAGTGACAGAACAAAAGAAATGGAATGCAATTTGGGGTCCCAGAGATATGAAGAGCTTCTATTAAACAGTGTCTGTAACATCTGTCTACAAGTGTAAGGTTTTTTTCCTTGTTTTACTTTTATTCTTTTTTTCCCCGTAATGCAGGTGTATGGATTGCCCTCTTTTTCTTAGCAATACTAAAAGAAAAGAAAAAAAAAAGAAATAAATCCCTAAAATACTGTAATCCCAGGAGACACTTGAGGAACAAAATATCCCCAGTATTGTTGTTCAATGCGCAGTTGTTGATGTCTTCTTTCCTTTTCTTTTACCCTGTTCAATTGCTATTTTCTACCATTTTCCCCTTGTCCTATGTGAAAAAGTTCAGTATTTCTGCTGTTCGGTGTTATTTGTAGGTTCCTTTCATTCCAGAATTTGACATTTAAACTTCCTAGCAAAAAAAGGGATATTCTTACCCTATGCTTTATAAGCAATCTTTGCTGTTACAGAGACAACTTTAATTACTCAGCTCTCGGTTGTGAATGTCTGGTGCCAGAAGTTTTTCCACCATACCCTGGGTCTACTCTGATCAAATCATGGACTCCTGTTCCTGACCCATTCCCATGGGTGTGCTGGGCAGCACAGCTCTCCTGGAGGCATTGCTTGGCAGCTGACAGAGCAGAGGTGCTGCTGGCACTCAAGTTCCTAAACATTGTGGTAGTCAGAGTTTCTCCTTACTCAAAGGAATTTATCTGTGGGTTCTCCAGACAGCATCTCCTCTTTCACAGTAGAGAGTAAATCTAGAAACTCAACCCTGAAGTTTTCACAACGCTTGAGTTTGATTATTCAGAGTTGATCACTGATTTAGACTTCAAATGATTCAGGAATTGCTGAAATATTGAAATATCTTTCTTGCTTACAAACTCACCTTATTCACCTACCTTAGAAGCTTTTAAAATTATTGTTGTACTTTAGTGATGAAAGGAATGCATAAGGCTATGTACTTTATTACATCAGCCATCATACAGCACGTAGGCTTGTGAGTGTTCCTGTGTAAAAATAATCTCCTGTATTATCAGAAGTGCAGGTATAAAAAACAAAACTGCATTTTGCTGTAAAACATTCAGAAGGAGTGTGTGTAAAGAATAAAAAAGCTTGGTTCTTAATTGATGCTCTTAATGCCTGGCTATGGACAATTTGTGTCACCATCAAATCAGTTTGAATGCACTTATAGAGGACATTAATTTAAAAACGTTGATGATTTCATGAAGGAAGTCCTGCTACTGACCCTTATGGAAGGGAAACATAAGTTGGATTTGAGGGTCTTGAAAAACTAAATCAAAACGAAGTTGTGAGCTAGTCATTAAAAGTGAAAACATCAAGGAACATTAAAATTCTTTTTTAACTTGCTTTTGCATTTCAGGGTAGGCACACTGATGAAGACAGTGTATTCTATAGAGGATACAATGGGTGGAACTGTCAAATATTAACTCCTTTTCAACAGCCAAAAACATCAATTGAAATTTCTTTCTAACACCGTTATTGACTTTCCTTTTAATTTTTTTTCACAGAGGATCTTTCTCAAAGCTGGAAGTGAGGAAGAAATCTTTGCACATCTTGGCTTGGATTATGTCGAACCATGGGAAAGGAATGCTTAAAATTGTTCGCCAGTGTACATTCATCAGTTGACTGCAATGGTCTTTCTGCCCACCTTGCAGTCTGGTATAGTTATATATACATATATTAGTATTTCTGTGATAACAAAAAAACTAAATAAGTATTAGAAGACACTTGCACTTGCTAATGTCCTAGAAGAGTTTAAGTTTTTCAAAATCTTTTCCAGTCCTTTCTAGTTTTGAAGCTTCTACGTGGGAGTGATAAGACAGAGCTTGTTTTGGGGGAAAAACTTGGAACTGGTGAGGTTTTTGCTTATGATAGGAATTTACCATTAGTATGAACAATACTTGTTTTTTAAAGTAGTCAGCTACAACAATATGTAAATAATTCAAAACATTTGAGCTGAGTCAAAACATTACTGAAATGTATGCTGGTCTTTAACTGAATTTCTTATGTATTTTGCTGAATCCATGTATAAAATGGCTCTGTATATAAGGCTTAATGACCTAGGCAGTAACTACTTTGCAGTCTCAGCAACTTGAGGCTTCAGCTGTAATATTTTCACAGGTAGGGCACCATTCTACAAAAACTACAAACAAGTTGATAATTCAGTGAGAGTTAAAAAACATTTCACAGGAAGGGATTTTGAAAGGGAAAGTGGAATCACTCAGTAGCAGTCTTTAATTGAGTAGAAAAATACTATAAATTTATGGTTCTGATTTGGACTAAAGAGGAGTTAGGTTATGAGGTGTAATGGTCCTCAATGAGGAATTGGAATCATAACATGCCTGAAAACAATGGTTTTAAGTGTCAGGCTGGTGACTGCTCCAAGACAGAAGATTTTAATTATCTGTGCTCAATTTAGATAGATGGAACTTTATTAACTAATAAGTGTGAATGCATTGGAATGGGATTTTACTTGCGCTCTTGGGCTGTTGGCTGCTCTAGAGTGCTATTCCCTGTCTTTAGTCAGAAATTCATATAGGATGTGAGAAGCTTTCTGATAAAAGCCCTACGAGATATTTTTGTTCCAGAAAATATCTAGGTAGCTCTTGTGACCATAATGACAATGAAGGAGCTCTAATACATTTATCCTTTAAGAAACAGGGGCATTCAGTGCTTTAGGAAATGAAGCTATTTACTGATCATTCATCATTTGAGAATAAAGGTGATTAAGAGTACCAGGATTGGTCAAATAATTTTCTTCCTTAAAAATCTGGAATTTTTTTCCTCTGTTGAGGCTGACTACTACACCTATTGACATGATGAGGAAAGAATGGCAATGACAGGGCTGTGCACAGCAGTTATTACTGACAGTAAAGGCTTCCCATATTCAAACAGTATTTGTTACTAATAAAAAGGTTTGCTTATTTTTTTACTCATTACTTTCAACTGGGGAATAAACTTCTAGAGGACTGCGTTGTAAACTATTCCAAAACCTCAGTCAGGGTTGTAGAAAAATGTGTTGATGCCAGGAATTTGCTTCATGCCTGTGTCAATAAAACCACCCCATTTAAGTGCAGTTTTGCTAACTGAGCTGAAAATTCAATGCTAGTTCCTAAACTGCTCTAACTATGAAGCACTTGCATTGCTTCCTGCTTTATTGTGCTGATGTTTTAAGTAGCTTCTCTATGTTTTGCATCAGGATGCTGACACTTAAGTAGCAGTGACATTTTTCAGTCCTAATGGAAGAAAACAAAAGATATGCTACATTGTTTGAATATTCTTTCTACTTGGCCAACATTTATAACAAGTTATACATTCCATTTGTGCTGTTTCTGCAAACTTCAAGACACACACAAAATATAAAAAAATCTGAATTCCACATAAATAAATAATTCACATCTTGGGTGCCTATGCATCAGTTATAATTATGCCACCTATGAGGGAAAAGATACCAACACAAGTTCTGTCAGCTCCTCCAAGACTAGAGGAAATCAGCATATCACTTTATTCTTTATTTCCCTCAATTTTTCTGAACTTTATTTAGAATACATCTTACAGTTTGCTCACTGAATCAACTATTAAAAAAATAATATGGACCTGATTAATGAGGGGTTGTGTTTAAAAGAACAGCCTAGATGACCAGGATGGTTTGACCATGAAGAAGATGGCTTCTCTTGTGCCCACCCTCACTGGAGCAGCTGCTACCCCAGTCGCTATTGCAGGTACCGTGTGCAGGACCACCCCTGATAGCACCTGCCAAAGCAGTCAGCTGAGACTGTAATTAGAAAAGGTAAAAGTCATAGAGGAGAGCTGGGATGGAACAGGTTAAAGGAAATGGAGCCTTCATCAGCTGAGCAGGTCTGGATCCATGTGCCAGTGAAAAGTCCCTCCAGTGTGATGGAACTGCCGGAGTCAGTGGCACTGAAGCTTCTGAGCTCATGAAGGACAGGTGGGGCCTCAGGGCATGGAAAGGGCAAACACTTGTAACAGGAACAGACCAATGTTTGTAACAGGAGGAAGGGAAGAGAGAATTTCAGATCAGTGCACTTAATATCTCCTAAATTGCTCAAATGATTAACAGACTGTATTTTTAATGCACCTAGAGGAAAATAAAGTGATAAGTTATTGGTAATTTGTTCATCAGAAACAAATAATGTCAAACTAATTCAGTTGTAAAGTCCCTGGAGGTTGTTTTTCTAAAATGTCTGTCCCTCCTCCCCTGCTTCTGCACCAAGGCAATTTGGCATGTAGTGAGTAGAGAAGGATCACTGGTTTAATTAAGCATCTACATACTAACTCTCTAAGAATTACTAAGTAATTCTATCTCTGGGAAAAAAAGAGGAAAAGTAAAAGGAAAGCCGCTGTTATTTTTTTTCATGGTTTGAAGTAATATATGATTTGTTAAATAATCTCTAAAGGCAAAGGCAATGAGATGTATTTAATTTGATGAGTAATAATGTAGTTAATGTCTAAAGGACTGATGTGCTGATGGAAAAGCTAATTCTATCTACACAGCTCTACAAAATTCCAAATCTGGGCAACCTAAACACTGATACAACTGAAGCCACATGGACTTTCTGCAAATAACTGGAAACCTGAGAACTGCTGCTACTTTGCATAAATAACTCCAGAATGTTAAAAAAGCCCAAACCCAAAGATTTGCAAATGTTATAACCCCCATTTCATTAAATGTCTTTTCTACAGTTTATGGGCAGAATTGTTTGGCTTTCTCAGGTGAGACCATCTTATTCCTTGGTATGAAATATATTCTTTCACTTTTTGATAAGCTATTACTTTCTATTTTACAGTTTTCTTTTGCAACTGCAGTTAAAATAACCAGGTCCTGGGTCTAACAGGTTAATTAAACTCACATAAACAAATGAAGACAGAGAGCTCTGGAATCCTTTCTTAACAGGAAGACCAAGCAGTCTTTTAGCCCTGCTGTGCAGATACACAAAGTGTCTTTAATTAGGATGCATCAAATGTCACTTGTTTTAGCTGAAGAGGCTCCTTAAGTGTACTATAGGACATCCTTCACAGCACCAGCTATTACGTAGAATACTGTGAAAATGTATTTGTGTCACCCTGAGCTAAGAACCAACCAGAGGTACCACCTTGCACAATGTCAGATAATAACTGGAAAAGGCTTTTCCCCATGAATGCCGTTCAAATCCCTTCAGAATAATTAGAAAGCTGTTTAATGTCTCCTTCAATAAATGCGTATTATAGGCAACCCATAAAATCTAACGCTATTTTTCAGTGGGTGCCTCCAAACAAATACTATTCCCAAATACTACTGGTGATACAGAAACTCCACAGGTGGGGGAGTGGGGGTGTGGTGCTGGACTACACATCCCAAAAGCCCAGGTGTCTCATGGAAATCACTTGGCTGATGAGAATCAATCCTATTTGCACATGGTTACTGACCATGGGGAGAGAAGGAGAGAGAACATGTGTTGGGTAAGTACAAAATCTCCCCATTTTCTGTGTTTTAGTACATAAACACACTTACTGAAAACCAAGCTACTTGTTTTATGGTTGCAGGTATTTCATTCCAGTTCCTTCGTGAATGTGCAGCAAAAAAATAATACTAAATGGTATATTTCCTTTTGTGTTTCATTCTTGCCAAAATCAACATGCTCATTAAAGGGATTTTTGGAAATGGCAAGGTCCCCCAGACCCTTTCCTGCCATTATGAGGTTTTAAGGGAACAATATTTATATGAAACTAACTCAGATGCATTTTTTATTAAATAAATAAAGCCTTTCTAGCAGGAATAGCGTAATTTCATGTGCTTACTGCTATATATACACATACTATGTCCAAATTTTTCTGTTTTCTATCAGCTTCAGTGTCTTCTCCTCTTAAGGAAGCTATGCATTAAGATATAATAGAAAACAGCAAGAAAGGTCTCCATTTAAAAAAAAAATTTGATGATTTCTCTGCTGGGGAAGTGCAGATTATATTCCAGAAACTTGTGGTTGCAACATTTAGGAGAAAAAAAGCAAATAATAAAAAAATCATATCCCAGCACTTTGAAAATAAAATAATGGTCTTTGTATTTTTCTAACCGCTAAAAGAGAGATGATTTGGAATTTTCTTCACAGCTGGGTAGATCTAACTTCAAAAATGGAGCTTGAGGAGGTTATGTAATTGTGTGACTGGGTAGGAGTGTTTCTGCAGTTGGAAGCTGTTGCTGATGATACAAGTCTGAAAGTGTTCCATTTTTAGTAGCCTAAGGATGGGTTGAAAGATCACTTGGGCCTGTGGCTTCCATAAGTGTACTCTATAAATCCCACACTTCAACATGTAATGGTGGAGAAATTTTGCCTTTGCACTCCTCTGACACACATAAGGTCAAAATATATTGAGAGGATAGCTGGGATCTGCTGCTTCTGGTGATCCTGAAATCCTTTGGTTCTGCTGTGAACAGTATTATCATATATGAACGGGGCTTCTGTGTTTTAAACTAAACTAGGATATCAGAGACTTAATTCTCTGCCTTTTGTCCTTTTACAGTATGCTTTTAGATATGTTAAAGACTGCTAGAAAGTATACTTTGTGTTGGCGTTTTGTGAGTGGGAAGTGGTTGTTTTGGAAACCCTGACAGACTGGTTGCAGGGCTGGAGCTGTTGTAGGGCTCTTGACAAATGATTGATGATTTAATTTGAA